ACTAGGGGAAAGGAGGTAGAAGATATGGAATATGACTTTATTCCAAGAACTGTTGTTTTATAGCTTGAGAATACCTATGGTCACAAATGTAACAACAAATGAACAAACATTAGACCCAAATACTAAACATAAGGAAATGCCGCACAAACATACCAAGAAGCAAATACTATCATTATAATAATTATTATAGCTAGTATCATGATAAGGCATTGATAGTTCACTAGGATGTAATGTAGAATACATTAGCTAGAAAGAACCATGGGTAAACATTATTCTCTTTAAAAGGCAGTTCATATTCTAGGTTTATATGACATGATCTACATAATCCAATAGCAACAGGTAAGAAAAGGATGCAGGAAGAAGTGAAGACTTACACTTTTATTTCAGCTGCTGTGTTATCAATATCAATATCAATCTTAAAATAATGATGAAAAGGCTGTTTTAAAATATGGATATGATGAGTTATGGTAAGTTATCCCTGCAGCTTTAAAATATTGGGTTGTCAGAAAAGTCATGATGTATTTTTTCTATTGTATGTTTTTCATTGCAAAAAAGCGTCATGACTTTTCCAGCAACCTAATAGTATAGTGGCTAGATCTACCTACCTTTTCTTGAAATCCCTGCTTCAATGCCAAGCCATTAAATTCATTCCTGAACTTTTGAGGACATTTTAATGATGGTAATGCCAGGTCGAGGGTAAAGGAGAAACAGAGCTGACCAGAAGACTGGGAGGGAAAAATGAAATGGGGAAAAAAAAAAAGTTTGTATTGTTTATACCATCCAGTCTGGCAAATTTTACAGATGCTTTCTGTTTGCTTGGGGTAGTTTATTGCTTATGTTATTTTTTTTCTTCCTTTTTCCCCCCATGTGCTTGCCTCTACCAACTTTGGCTGAAAATATTTTGTATGTGTCTGTACTGTAAACTCTCGTATTTTTCTAGAGATTTATTGTGGTGGAGAAGCTCCTTTTTTTTCTCTTCCCCAAGGGATAGGCACATCAATATTCTAGCTACTCACTTTCGAGGCCAATGGAAAATGTGTTCCTGAGATTAAATAGACCTGAGTAACACATAAATTCAGTTTATACTGATGCAGTATGTTACATAGTTACTCACATGCTGAATTTCTGATGAGTGAAACACACCTGTTGGATGACACACTGCTTGTAAATAGTCACTGGCCTGCAATTCAAAACAGAGAGGCAGGACGAAACCCTAAGTGTAGGTTCTCTATAGATGGCCTAATTTGCATAGAACACTTCTCATCTGTGGAGCTCTGAATGTAAAGGATCTAGTCTAGCCATGCAAAGCTGGCTCACAGAGGGCTCTTCCAATATTCTTAGAATAAACTAGAGCAATACATACAGGTGTACAGGGCGGGTCCTGCAACAAGTCATCTCCCTCTACTCCCACTTCCCAACATTACTGCTTTAAAAAAAATTCAGATTATTCACATATAATTCCTCCCTTCTCAGATTTCATAAGTTCTCACTTAGGAAGAAATCTTCCATGTCTGTCAGTAATTCTTTAAAAATTATAAACTTTTAAATCCAGTGTTACATTTAGTTTAAGTAGGTTCAGCATATCTATCTAGTATGGGTTGGCTAAGCCACAGTGGACTTCCAAGTCGTCAGAGACTATGCTTTCCTTTCACTTCAGATACAGAATTGTCTATAACACGGCATATATTTAATAATGAGTAAAATTAATGCTGCATAGATCTGACATGCGAATGATCATCCTAAATTTGAGTCAAGTAGAGAAAGTGCCCTCCCCCACAAATAATAGTTCTTCCAAGAAACCTGGCCAAATCGGTGAGATGTCTCTCTAGTCAACTAAATTGTCCTTTGGTTTACAGCTGTGCCTAAGAACATTATCAAATACACTGATGGGATTTTATGGTCAACTGTTACATGTTAGAAAACATGATGACAGTATACTCAGAAGAAGATACTCCTGTATACAATGATTAGAACTATTTATCTGAATGTTTGTTTGTTTTTAAAGATTTTTTTTTAATTGGGGAATTGAGGGAGGGGAACAGCACTGGAGAATCGGGGAAGGGGAACAGACAAGTTCCTGTCCTTTTGTTCTTCAGTCTAGTTGTGGAGGACATCGCTTCACTGGCCCACATTGGTATTTATCATTGCGCTCCTCCCAGGTGAGGCAGATCGGTCGCCGGCCACTGGATAGCTGCTCATGGCGGCTCTTGGCAGCTCACGCTGGCTGCCAGCTGCTCACGCTGGCTGCCAGCCACTCACGGTAGCTTCCAGCAGCCCACTGCAGCCTACGCCGTCGCCGGCGACTCACAGCAGCCCAGCTCCAGGTCCAGCTGTTGTTCACCATCTTAGCTGTAGAGGGCAGCATCTCTGGCCCTCATGTGGGATCCGAACTGGGGCCCTGCTGCTCAGAGCTGGCATCCCAAGCCAAACTCTTAACCAACGCACCACTCAGCTGGCCCTATCTGAATGTTTTTAATATTAACATATAAAAGGGTCCTGATGGGCCTGAAATATTGATGGACTAAATGTTATGATGTCTGGGGTTTGCTTAAAGTAACATAGTGGTAGCATGGGAAAATGATAGGTCATAAGTTAATCATTGTGCAAGCTGTGTGATGGGTGTACTGGAGTTCAATGTAGTAATCTGTCTACATTAATGTATTTTCAATTTTTCATAATAAAAATTTTAAAAATATACACTGATTTGAACTTTCATTTGTTTACTCATTATCTATTAATTGATTCATGTATTCTTCATGTGCAAGATATTGTGGAAATGTAAAAAGAAAAAAAAAAAAAAAGAAAAAAGAAAGACAAACCCAAACAACAAAACAATGCTCTTATTGGACATGTAGGTTAAGTAAGCTATTCCTCTTCATGAATAATCTATATTTATTTTAAATGATGTTTATAAAGACTGTATAATTACATGTAGAATTCGTAGGTTAAAATTTGAAAGCAGAACACAAAATTATATAGAAAGTATGATTACAGCATGTTTTAAAAAATATGTCTTCAGGGGAAAATGAGAGTAAGGAAATATATCAAATGGTTATTAATGATTGGATTTAAATTATAGAAATAATTACTTTAATTTTTCTTCATTTTACTCCTATGTGTTTTTTCAAATTATTTTTAATGAGCATGTATCATTTTAAAATGAAAATAAATATTTATTCATTAGTGGATACGATGCACTCTGCTTTCCCAAGGAGCTTTTCATTTACTAAAACAGAGAAACTGCAAACACACAGCACGGCCCTGCTTCTTTAAATCTTTATACCTACAAGGGAAATACACCCACAGGAAAAGAAATGTCAATACAGACTTTATCTGATCATAGAAACATAAAGGGCTTTCTGTGTGTTGGATAGAAACAGGGGAGGAACTGGCTTCTTTGCGAGCCAGAAAGAGTGTGAAATTCAGGCCATTTTGTGATGAGATCATTTTGCGATGAATGCAACGGGAGCCGCAAATTAAAGTTACCAAATAAGCCTGTTCCTTAAGCTCCTGACGCTCACGCAGGTACGAGTTTCTTCTTAGGCAGCACAACCAGAAAAGCGTGGGAGTGGGAGTGGGAGTGGGAGTGGGGAGGGAGTGGAGCTGTAATCCTAGGGCGTGTGGCCTTCACCAGCAAGACAGTTGTGTTCAGAGGGGCAGAGACAGATGTGCAGCAGAATTCGAGACAAAAATACAATGACAACCATGGATTATGTGCAATGGGTATGGAAAGTCCCTGTTAGAAAGCTATCTTTATTACCCCAAGAGATTATTTTCCTCATTTTATGCATATTCATATAAAGTGAAGTCAAAAGCATAACTTTGAAAGGTTTGGATGAAGCTGATGTTCATGACTAAACAGGCCTGGCTATAGCCATGCAGAATCTTGTCAGATGCCAGGCAAGTCGCCCTTTCCCTGCTCCTCCGTCTCCAGTGGATTTGCCAGTGCATTTCAAGGCAGGCCAACCGCTAGCCAACTCAGTGCTTTCAGGCTGTCTGACTTGATGACGCGCCACCCATATACCTTCAGTCCTGACCTGCACCCTCCTCCCGGCCACTGAAATCCCACAACTTCTAGAAGGCATGATAGCAAACTCGTGGAAACTCTACCATTGCTCAGTAAGAGACACACAGACCTCAGAGTTTTAAACTTAGGCTTACTTGTATCCCTGGTCTCAGTCCTCTCACTAAACTGGTAAAGGGAAGGGGAGGGATTTCACGTTCCTAAAGAACATGGTCCTTTCTGTGTGTGGGTGTATTTAAGAGCGGTCATACTTGATTTCAAGATTGATCCAAATGAAGTAAGTGCATTTAAAATTTGCAGCATGTCACAGAATAATGAAAGGTAGTTCAAAGCATCACGAAATACAGCAAAACCTTGGATTGCGAGTAACGTGGTTTGCGAGTGTTCTGCAAGACGAGCAAACATTTCTAATACATTTTAACGTGGTAACGTGGTAATCGAGCGATGTCTTGCAATACGAGTAGCTTGTTTCCAGAATGAATTATGCTTGCACACCAAGGTATTACTGTATGTTTGAAGGATTCTGTGTTTGTTTGTTTAATGTCAAAGCATCTAATGTTCCACACGGGAAATGTCAGTGCCCAACTTCACTACATCAGCCTCTCTTGTCCACAAAGGCATCACCTTTGGAAATATATATCTTTGGAGAGTCTTCCAAACAAATCCTTTGAATACTTCCACGCTCGTATGGCAAAAATCACTGTAAAATGTTCATTGAAATCTGTGATAATAGGTTCTTGGGATCACAATTTCTTAACCATTCTAAAATGATGGTATTCCAAAAATTCACAAATAGGATATGAAATATACGCCTTTCACCAATGTCAACATATGTTCTGCCCAAATTTTGTTCTTGAGGTGGTGGACTCTCCATGCCTTTAGGTCTAATTCGTTCCAAGGTTGGAAGAAATAACACTTGACTTCTTTTCACCTCAATATTTTGGACTGCCATTTAGAGATAATGAAAGTTACTTACCAGACAGTAATGTCACGTGAGGAATATTCAGTTAGTGATGGTGAAACATTCTGAAACGAAAAGAGTACCATAAATGCTAGGTATTTAATAGATGTCTGACAACATGGCAATCATAGAAAATAACCCATTTACTTCTCACTTTGGGACACTGCCTGGGTGATACTATATAAAAAGTAACAGATGCTTCTCTTTGAGGATGAAAATACAACTGTGCACAGAGAAAGCAGCTTTTGGAAATGCTGTGAGTTTAACTTTAAGGGCTCTAACCAGTTGTGAATGACTTGCGGCCCATTTCTGCAAGTCACTGTAACTTGTGTTGAGAAAGTTATGTCTTATGGTTAATTATCCATGGTTGGTTTTTTTTAAAAAAATAAACCATTGTGAACCACCAGGATTTGCAGCTCCATTTGAACTTTACCGTACTTTTGATTAAACATTTCGTAAATAAAAACAAACTTTTTTTTTCCATGCTTTTGGTTGTTTTGTTACTTGTGTTCTAGATATAAATATTGTGGCAATGGTTGGAGAACAAGCTATGGATTATTTACCCCTGGCTGCATGAGTTGTGAGTTACTGGCCTTATCCTCCTGCAAGAGTATAAATAAATGTATAGCATTATATTCTTAGTCCTGTAAGACAAATAGAATGAGTGAACTGAAACCTTTTGAAACCAAACCCTTTTATGCTAAGTCACAAAGCAACAAAACAAACCCCAAATTAACATTTAAAAAGCTTCTACTGTGGAGCAACAAAATCCCCAAATATTATATAATCTGCATTTTAAAAATTGCTTGCTTAACAAGCAGCAGCCTATCAATAATTCCACATGCTTGTCTTTTTATTGCTTCTATAATTTAGAAGCCATAGGTGGTTTTACCAGTGAGCACCTCCCACCCCAATATTACCACCAGAATGAAGTCTTGAAAATAACCAGCATAACTAACTAAAGCCAAAATTGATTTAGAAAGGTCAGGAGTTATTGTAGCTAAAAGTAATGAAACACTAACCGGTGGGGTGCCAAAAAAATATATTTTGAGAAAGGAAAAAAACTGTATTAAAATTGTAATACTCAGTATAGACCGATAACAAAAGATGAATAGAAGTCATGCATATACATTTTTTTGGCACTCCCAGTATATATATATATATATATATATATATATATATATATATATATATATATATATATATATAGAACTCCACGTAAAATTTGTCTATAGTCATCATCCTAGGACCTATGTAAATAAAAAGAAGTCTAAAATATAATTGTCCACAGAAAATGAGAAAAGACAAGATCAAAGGACCCTGTGGCAGAATGCAAGGGAAGTACGTTTGAGACCCAGAATCATAAGTACCTAACATACCTGCATATGAAACTTAATGGGGATCACCAAAGTAGCTGCCCCCCCCATTAAAAAAAAATGATCCAATGGCCCGTGCAGCATTGAGGACCTCTAGGAAAAATATAAATTTGCTTTTTGCAATGTGCTCCTTTTATAAAGACAGAGACAGAATAATAAGGGCTTTCTCATCAAATGGGATGATCTGTCCATTTCTGAAACTTGAAGAGCTCTGTATACGATTTCATCTTACTCCTTTATTACTTGCATGGTTTACTGCTTACCTGAATAGGCACTATGAGGGTACAGACACAGCAGTTTCCCTCACCAGTTCACCAAAATATGGCAAAATATCTGTGAAGCAGCTACTATGTGCCAGGCACAACTAGAGTGATTGTGTTGGAGAAGGTAAGTCAGTGACTGAGGTTCTTGTTGCAACCTTTAAAAGTATCTATTGCTACTGCCAACAGCAACTAGAAGCAAGGTTGACACAGTTGTGAAAGACTTTTGAAAAATTAGAAAATATTTAAAACTCTCCCTAGCTTCTTGTGTGCCCTGGAAATAGAAAGCTTAGGCCTGCCAGCCAGCCCTTCCCAAGCCTGGATCCCATACGGCAAAAGAAAAACTGTAATGAGCCTATATATGTTCCTAGGGCCATGGTTACAATTGAAAACGAGGGGTGAAATGAATTAGTTGGCACCCACTGGACATCGAAAGGCCAATACTGCCCTAAGTATGGATAAGAGGGCATAAAAATCAACCAAGGTGAGTGAAAATGGAAGCTATTCTGACAAACTGAGTCAGAAGAAAAAGTTCAAAGATGTTTTACTCAAAAATATTTTCCTCTATTTCTTTGGTAACCAAATGCCTCCAACTATTTTTGACAACCACGAAAACGTTACTCTAGAGTTCTAATTTTTCTTTTAAATCTAGGAACCCCATTTGAAAATCAGGATATTCTACATGATTTTCTATATACAGAATTACACACCAAAGATAAGTGCTTGGTTACAGATGATTAATCATATGAAAATTATATTATAAAGGATATATTTTACATGGTTCAGAATTCATCTTGATAATCAGGTACATACATACAAAATTGCATATGGGAATCCAAACTTAGCTATAAACCCATGTAGAGGGATACTCAGAAAAAATACACCTGTGAATATGATTTCCTGGTTAAAGACAGACTATTCTGAACAATCTTCATTATTTTTCCATAAACCAATTCATCTGAGCAATAGATTCTTTTAAGGATAAAAAGCAGAAAGAAAATGTTTTTATAAAATACATGTACACACACACACACACACACATACACACATATATATTTTTTATCTATATTAGCTTAGTCATTATTCGTATTAGGACAACAAATGATGCCTCCATGTCATCAGGAATATAGAGACGTGATAATCACAATGATCTCAATCACTCAGTTGTTACAACAGAGAGCAACCCATTCAGATAACAAAACCTGAAAAACCAGACAAAACTCTCCTAGCTTTGAGTTTTATCTTTATACACCAGACTTTTCCATACAAAAGGAATCCTAAATTCTAACACATAAGAGAAAGTTAAATAAACTAGGAAATAGCCTGAATCTTTTTTGAAAAGTAAAGGAAAACTCACCTCTTACCTTCAGTAAAATCCAATAAGCCCACCTCCGATGACCTTACCAACCAGAAGTAACGTATGACCTAAAGGAATGATGCTGATCCCAAATATAATGAGATGAAGTGTGTCAGTAGTTCCTACTCCGGCCCATTCTCTCTCTTTCCTACTTTCATCTTTTCTGACTGCATTAAGAGCAATCAGAATTATCATCACCACCACCCCTCACATGGCTGATCTAACTTTCTTCTAACAGATACCTAACAATGCCTAGTGATGCACTCTCTACCATTTTGTATCCATTTTAGAGCCATTTATAGGTAAAAACTGAAAAGGAAGAACAAAATATAGCCCCAAATCCCTCCAACCTCCCTCATCAGACAAATCCTTGGTTCCTAGAGGACATCAGTCAGTTAAGTGAAACAAAATATTACAAAAGGGAAGAAAGACTCATAAACCTCATATAAATTTCACTGTGTTCCCATTTAAGCTGGGAAGGGAGTTACTCCAGTGAAAAAGTTGGGGGTGTGGGAAAAGGGTGAAGGGCTACAATGAGAGAGAAAGAGAGAGAGAGAGAGAGAGAGAGAGAGAGAGAGAGAAATAACTTTTATTATACAATTGGCACTTAAAGGAGGTACAATAAATCAAATAGTGTTCCAGGGGAAAGTGTAACAGAAAGTTCTAAATGAAAGTTCCAGAAACTACAGGTTCTTAAATGGAGCTGCTGCTTAGGTGATGGGTTCTGTAGGAAGTTTGAATTAAGTGTCTCTGCTGTAGCATCCAGATGTTTTCTCTTTCATTAGGACTTTGGAGTTTAAATATACTTTTTCATGAGAAAAACAAAAAAACAAAAAAACAAACAAAAAAAAACATTCGAGCTTTGTACAGCCCCCAAAGTAAAAAAGCAAGAGAAAGACAGGGTTTATATAACCAGCTTTTTACATAAATATTACATCAGGATACATTTCAAATGAAAACACACACACACACACAGCCGTCTTATCCTCTTTCTATTTTAAAATTCATTCCATACTTTAAATTTTGTTGATTTTTCATAAAATAAGTAAAATCCAAGTCAGCATTAAACACCTCAGAATAATTTTAGTCTTATGTTACCTGGAAAATGTACCACATCATTGAGGGTCACCAAATCCCGTTTTGAAGCCAGTGAAGGCACTGTCAATTACGGGATGTTTTGCTGCAGCCTAGGGCAACTAGAAATGGCCATAGATGTTAACTAACTCCCTTTTCAACAGTCTGAGAAAAGGGAAAAAAAACTGTAAGTTTCCCCATCTGTTATTTCCTTTTTATTTTTTTTTTCTTTTTGGCTGTGGAAGTAAAATTATGCAAGAGCTTTTGAATGTAAAGGCTGTGTGTGCTTTTTCCCTTTTTGTCTCTGTGTACCGGTTTTGTGATGTTTCGTAACTGAGTAGGCGGTTAGCGTTTACTATTGATTTACACCATGCCATCTAATGAATTCAGAACACTAAAAAGAAAGGAGTGGGAGGGGGAGGGAGGAAAAAGAAAAAGAGAGGAACAGGGGCAGAAAAAAGGAGGAACCAAGGGGAGAGAGAAAGAGCTCGTTTACAGAAACAATTCTAATGCCTGGGGTAGTTTCAATCTTATTCCCTCTAGCTCTGATTTTTGGTTATTGTTCAGGTCTCAGAAAAATGGGCTTGCGCCAGTGACCCCAACATTACAATCTTATTTCTAATGAGGATGACTGGCAGGTGAATGTCTGGATGTACTAATGTGTCAGATTACTTAATAGCAATTGCACGAAGCTGTCAGACTTCTCCATATGCACCTGTGTATCATTCTCCCTGTGGGTTTGTGACTCTGTATCTGTGATGGCCAATGCTATGGTCCACTAGTGTACCTAGTCACAATTATTATTTGCAAGGTACACATCCGGACAAAGAGGAATATGTTCTATTTTACCCATCTCCTTCAAAGGTGTATAAAGGATGCAGTTAGAAATCTTTGAATAGGTCACTATTTTACTTTGGAAGAAGACATGCCACAAATTATTTGTCTAAACAGAACAGCCCAATATAGGATAATGAAAGAGAAAAGGGTAAAATGAGGGA